GGGCAGAGGTGGACGCATAGAGAGATGGACGGACAGGTAAAGGAGCACAGAGAGCGGTGGTGGGGGGGCATATCTTTTCATTTCTGCGATAAGATAAGAATTAGGTCAAACTCGAGTGTTTACACAGTGGGTGAGACAGGAGAAGGAGTGCGCGCGCGCACACACACACACACAAGTTTGTCAGAGCCAGTGAGGACATGAGGGGGAATGCGGAGGCATCAGTTACAAAATGACCACTCAACCCTCAACGAGGGGATAAACATGTAGCAGACGGACCCTATTGTGGTTTAGATTGACTTTGAACATCTCGGGTTGTGATTCCTTTAGACTTTAAAGTATATTTGTTTAAGTTTCTGTCAGAATTGTACATCCCGTCAGCTCTATAAGTGACGTCACGCCAATCCTCCATTGTCAGTGTTTCAATTCGTCAGCACCATTGATATTTACTTGTGAGCCGCATATACAGTTTGCGGCAAGAAGGAAGTAAGGGGACAGGCAGAGTGGACATAGGAAGGGACATAACAATAGAGACATCCTTTTATGGAAGGACAGAGGATGACCGAGAGAGGACCGGAGAGAGTGAGCCAGCGGTAGTGCGCTAGGCTACGTAAGTTATCCTCAGTCGAGGATGAATCACGGCTCTAAGCGAAGCAGAGCAATCAGACTTGTCAGGCAGCGAGAGAACTGCCCATTTGTGTTCAAGGGAGATCTCTGCTCAGGAGACCAACACACAGAAAGAGATCTCTCGACATGACAGCTTCCTACTCTGAATGAATTTAAAAATAGAAAGAGAGACTGTGCAGACAGACGAGCCTGCAGTTTTTGAAAAAAGAAAAGAAAAGAAATGTAATTTATCCCTTCCAAAAATCATTTCTGAATTAGGCTAGCTGCGTGCACAGGCCAAATATCCAATGCTTTTAAAAATGAAAGCGTTTTTGTATTTGTGTTGCTGCCAGAGAGAGGAGATGAGAAGAAAGGGCTGAGGATCCCAGGCTGTTCTATGAAGACCTACTTTAGGCTGTTCTTTTGAAGTTTAAGTCGAGATCAATGACTGCGTTGACTGATAAACGCTGATGACAAACATCCTGGACTGCATCGGGTCTTTGGTTTGATTAAAAGGTGTAACTGTAACACATGGCTGTCCTGTCTTCTTCAATGGGCCACGAATGACTGCCTGCAAACTTGATTCTGTTTTGTGGCGGGAAGATGAGAAGAAGTCACCGCCTGGCTGAAGTGTCCGACCACTGATTAACCTTCAGTGTCACCCCAGTCTCGTCTTCTCAGCCATGACCTCTCAGCTGGGCCCTCGGACGCTCATCCTCTTTTGAGCATCTCCTCCAGAAGACCGGTCATTTGAATACCAACGGAGGGCTGGGTGCACCATCGCGAAGGCTGCCTCGCATCCAGCCAAAACACAGGAAGTGTTCCACCATAAATGCAGCTGGTCAATTACCACCGTTGTCGCAATGATCGCAGTCGTCATTGCTCTTATGAAAAAAAGGCATCAAAGAGAGGCGGCAGGGACCGCCACGAATAATGGGGCACTAGTGTGCAGAGGCGAGAGGGAGCTAATAAGCCGGACCAGCCTGTTGACTGCAGCATCCTTGAAAAATACACCAAAGCTGCAAATGGCGCTGACCTGGTGTCTCATCTGCAAGTTAAAATAGCCCCGCGTACCGCCAGCCTCATCATATTCATGTGCAAACAGCCACTAACAGCAGGTCCCAACCCCCCCCCCCCCCCTTTCAAACTGCTCTTTTATCCTGTTAAGCACTTAGCCTATTCAAAACTACACAAAGACATATGGAGATAGATTTAAGTGGCGAATTCAAGCCGTTGATGTGTCAAATATGTACGGGTGCGGATGTAAAGGAGACGATGAAGAGGTGTACCGCTTTGAGATGTTTTCTGGGGAGTGCATCTCACCAATCTGGACTCAGTTGCCACGGCAGCCAATGTTTGTAAGGGAAGCAATTGTGCTCATGTCTGTGCATGAAGAGGGAGCTAATGTGGGGAGATCAATACAGGCGGAAAAATGCTGAGGCCAGCAGTCTGCTGCTGTTCTTCACAAACCTGTCTGACAAAGAGCAGCGGTGGGAAAGGCCACCACGGCCGATCTGGGTGTCACGGCCCCGCTGACTAAGTGCCACTAAGGCGTACTTCACAATACTATGCGCCAAGAAGCTATTTTGATCAGTAAAAAAAAAAAAATAAAAATGACAAACAACTCATCATGTCGATGTAAACAACAGATTTCAGAACAAAAATAAAAGAGGTTATGTTTTTAACTGCCGTGTGCGTTCATGCACAGACGAACTCCCGCCACACCCTCTTCACGAGAAAACAAACCAGTTTGACACAAACCAGTTACACCTTTGTGTCATACATACACAAAGGTGTGTCACAACGGCCCCGTGGCCAGGGGTGTTATTTGAAACCCTAACTGATATTTAGGTGACTACCCAGGCTGGCTGGAGCTCTAAAAATGTGAATGAGACAAAAAGGGGGGG